GGACACATCTGTGAAGACGTTGCAGAAATGGGAACAACTTGGAGAGAGAAATTGACATTTTAATGGAGAGCAGCGGCACCACCACAGCTGACGGCCATGCAGCACCTTAGACAGCTTAAATATCACAGCTAATTAACACAGAGAGGTAGGCTGTCACAGGCATGATGGATGCTTAGAGGGCACAGATTGTTGCTTTCAACCAACCAACGATTCCTTTATTAATCAAAGCTGGAGATGAAAAGGCTCTCCCACACCTCAGGGAGAGGGAGATAGCAGGAGCTATTGTTGGGAGGGTTTCAATCACTTGCTGTGAGCCCTGTAATGTGTTTGAGCAGGGTACAGCCAAACATTTGTAGGGAGACAGAGTGTTTTCTTTTTGCTTTGCGCTTGTTTTGGTAAACCGCTGAACCACCACTTTGTTAACAGAGCCACGGTGTGAACAGGCAGCTTAGATTTACTGATTGTAAGGGAGATTTCCGCTTGGAGGATGTATTTTTTGTACAGCACTGACAGGAGAGGGCACATAGAAGGCCACTATCAGTCTTTATGGGGAGTCTTCCTCCTTGACGAAAGGAACCAGGCTGAGAACAAGGCAGCACTCCCCCACTTCACCTCCCAACTGACTATATGATCAGTCAGAGATGATTTCAAACCAAGATGATTTCAGCACTTTGTGCATGAAGATGGAGTGTTATCTCATCCTCTGAGATCTCCTCTCCATCTCCCTCACTTAGGAAGGCCCTATTTAAGTGCCAGGGGGCTGTGGGTCCCGTAAATCAGGTGGCAGAGGGAGGGGATGTCTCCCATGGGGGGGAGAGCACACTTCCAGCAGCCTTCAGGCTGATCTCATCTTACCTATCCTAATACAGTAATTAAAGAAGAAGTCAATAACAAAGAGAAAAGTGCTAAAGGGTATGATCTGCACCTCCTACCTCACGACTAATTTGCTAATACAGACACAAGTGCAAATACAAGGTTATGGACTTTTCACCTTCATAGCCAAAGAATGTGAGTTTAACCTAAAGGATTGTAGGGAAACTATGAACCTTTCCTTACACAAGATGTGTTTTTACTTCAGGGCAAACAAATAACACTTTTCTTGATGTTAGTCAGGGTTACTTCTTCTCAACTTAATGAGTTGAATTTAAGGATAGTATCTGCAGCCTTCAGAGATTCATCCCCCATTGTTTTACTTGGGTAATTAATTGTTGTCCGTTTCAACTGTGCAGTCATGGAAAAAATTATAAGAGCACCTTTGTAATTAAAAGAACTGATTATGCAATCACTAACTCCTGAATGCATCATGTGATTACAACAAAAATACATCAAGGAATGCCTAAAAGTAATGTTTTGGCAGTAGGCCAGAGCTATAGATAAGAGAACTCAATTGATTTTGGAGGGTGTTAAGAAAAAATGGAAAATGGTGAGATATCAACTCTTAAATGTAACACTTATGAGATATTTGTTTTAGGATTATATTCGTTAAAAACAGTTGTATCTTGAGTTGTACCTGGCATCAAAATAAACTAAAAAGTAAAGGATTAACAAGGGGGATTTATTACATTGATATTATATCATTATTAAAACAACTGCATAGGCCTATTAAGTTTTCATTTATATACAGAGAAAAAAAAATAGCCAAGCCATCACAAAAAAAAAAAAAAAATGTAGTCACATTATTTTTTAAAATCCTTTTAGATCATTTATTTTGATTCAGAATATTATAACATTGACCTATATACCCAATCTTATAACTGTAGCATGGGACAGATTTTTACCACAGATTAAACCGAAATATCTAAGATCTGTTTTAGAGGCATTTTTAAGGAAAGTTTGTACCTTTGCATCATAAAGATGGGTTAAAATTGTCAGCCCAACAATGCATATTATTACAGATGGACAACTTTATAAAGAAAAAAAGGGTCAGTATAAATAGAAAAGTGAAAGTTATCTTGAAAACAAAACCATTAGATCTTCATTATATAAAAAAAAACTTGATAATGAAGATCTAATGGGAAATCGGGTAAACAAAAATCTAACTAATGTAAACTGCTAAACTGTATGGTAAAGGACAGATTATAAGATGACATTTTACAAGTTCCATATACAACAGATACACAAATTTACATTGCAAGATATTGCATGATGTATACAAACCGACATCAGAAGGCTCATCAAAAAGGGAAGGTTCCTTCTAAAGAATATAGGGCATGTGATCTAGTTACTTTAGTGACAACTGTCTCATTGTGAACCCCCCTCACTGTAGACATGTCTGCATCAGCGATTGAATCAATACTCCAGATACTACATAGTTGTGCACATTGCAAAAGCCGAACCTACCTGTGCTAATTTCTATGTCCAAGACTTGCACATGGAGCAGTGTAGCTGCACTTCACTGGATTTTTAATAGCTTTCCAGCTTAGAGACCCTCAGGTATGAGAAAACACTATGTGCTAAACACATAGATTTTAGCACATGCTAACCAAGTAACATTGAATTAAAATAGTGATTCTAACTAAACTGTAATTCATTCATACAGTCAAGTCAGTGTGACAAAAATACACCACATAAAAGACTTTCCCACCTCAAAAACATATTTCTTTTGGCTTTTTTGATTTGTACATTTATAGGGGGGATATATAATCTGTGTCTGCTGGTTATAGGGAGGGGCCAACTGAGCATTTGCAGTATCAGTATTATCAATAAAGTCAATAAAGACTTGTTGCAACCATTACTTGCTCTCACTTTTCCCTTCATCATTAACTAAACTACTCTGTTATAAAAAAAAGTTTGGGGAAGAAATCATGTCAAGGTTATGCTTGTTTATTTTTTTAATTATTGGGTAAGTTGGTTTGATTTACGCTTTTTATTTCCTACTTTCGTGAGAGTAACAAATGCATAAAAAAAATAAAAAAAACTGATGAAAAAAGTTAACTTTCAAAACTTTTATTTTGAAAGCAAAGAAGCTGGAGGAAGAATGAAGATGCAGAGAAATAAAGATGCAGGGGGGGGTAAGGTGGGAATTTTTGGGGCCATGTTATCTGCTGGTGTTGTTCCAGAGTCTGATCAACTCTATAGTCAGCACATCGAGGAGGTTTCTGAGAACTTGACACTTTTCTAGTCTAGAAAACAAACTACCATGACCTGTGAATCCACAAAGGCTCTACAGAGTAATGCCAAGAGAAGGGTTGGAGGCTCAAGAGTCAGGAGTCTTGCATTCAAATGATACACAATAAATAAACGGATCTGATTTCATATTTTAACTTTCTTATAAACTGAATTTCAAACTTTGATAAGCTATGTGCGGTAATCAACATTATCAGAACATAAATCTTAAAATATGTCCCTTAGTGATGAATTATCAAGCAGTTTGATCTTAAACAAATTTAGCAAATATTTTTGGTGATTTTTAAACTTATTTTAAAATTAATCAGTTTCTTAAATTTTTGCAGTTTGAAACCCTAGATTTTCCTGCTGGGCTGAAAGTAATGTCCTCATATGGTCATGGCTGCCATCTGCTGACATAACTGGGGCACTACTTATTTTGAAGAAAATGACAGTTTACAGCCTGAGCTATATTCAACCTATTCTGAATATCAGTCTGGGTTATCAGATAGATGATCTACTGTAAAATAAGTAATCTTTATTCACAAAGAAAATGTCCAATAATACTTTTTGTTGCAGCAGTGTACATGAGCAGCCTTTACTGTTAAAAAAATAGACAACAAAACAAAAACCTTTACTGGGAGCTAAAACTGACCTTGTTTCAATGTTGACACGGCAAATGCTGAAAACCTTTATTTAAAAGTAAATAAAAAAAAAAAAACTTAAAATAAAATCTATACAAGCTTATTCCGCAAATACATGCAGATAAAACAAACAACAAAAAACCTCTAACTAAGAGCTGTTTTTTAACTGAAATTTCAAAGATAGCTGCTTTCACGAGACTACAGACTATACCCTTGTAAAAACTCTGGTTAACTTTTGGAGTTCAGGTCCAAAAAACTCTATTTCCTACACCTAAGACAATTTGAATATATTTATATATATATATATATATTACCTTCAAAAGCTGTAAAATGTAAGGGAGAGGTCCTATACTTTAATCTACATTGCTAATTGCAATAGAGTTACCCAACTATGACAACATTTTAGTCTACATAACTGTTTAAGTTACACGTTGCATCATGACTGAACCAGCATCTTCGGTCCAGTGATTACGGTCCCATCTGAAGTCTTTCCCAGCAAAAATCATCCATCTTCACTGAAGATGCTAAAAGTGTAAGGGACCAAAAAAATAAAATGACACTGCAATCAGCTGATGGGCGGAGGCCAAAACTGGAAATCTATGAAGGAATTTTGGCTTTAACCATTTCATTTGATATCTGCAAAGGTAACAAGCAGGAACCAGTGGAGAAAAATGACCAATACTAAAATATATTGCAGGACTGGCACCAGTTTAATCTATTAAGCTTCCATATTGATAACCTGAATGCCTCTATTAAGACAAAAGTCTGTTGAAGTCACAGGTGTCTTTGCTTCATGAACAGGAAAAACAAGACATCAGCTGAATCTAAATGCATACCCTAACGTCTAAACCACTATATAGAGCGGGGGGCTTTATAATAGACTTTATGAAAAACTCTCAGCTGACCATTCACTGGACATTCGTGACCCCTATATAGTGCTCTATAGAGGGGTTAGGGCAGATGTTCAAACACAGCCATCATCTACTAACAGAGAATCCAGATGTAATGGTTCCAGGGTGCTTCGTATTGCAGGCATCCAAACATCTGTTCCCGCCCCCCAAAAAATATGTTGAGCCATCTAAATGTTATGACAGAGTAGCAAGCAATATCAAGGGAAATCCACTATAAAGTAAAATTAATCCACATGGTTAGCCATAGGTGCAATAAGTCTGTGAATAAAAACAATAATTTGACGTTTTTCAGGTGATTTCTTTCTGCAAGACCGTGTAGCTGTTTTGTAGTGGTGAGTAGTGGTGGGAAAATAAACTAAAATAAAAAAAAGTAGTGGTGAAAGTACCACTGGTAAAAATAGTAGCAGGAAACACTAATCTAAGTGAGAAAAAGCCAAGTAGGTTGGAAAGTTTCTTTTAAGAGGAACCCATAATCCAAGCATGCCTTCAGTCAGTTTGGACATTAAATGCAGTGAGACTGAATGCAGTAGGTTGAATATTAGATTAATATAAAAATAACATGAATAAAAAAAACCTTTGGGGAATTTCTATTATATTTTGAGCAAAATTTTCCAATTATAATTTGCTGGATGTTGATCCTACAACAAAATGTTTGTGATAAATCGTTTCTATTTGAGTTAGATGAAAAAAGAAATCTGCTCCATGCATCAAAATAATCGACTTTCTTGAATTTTGTGTAAATAAACCCATATAAATACTTTACATGACAAACATATCAGCAACCAGCTGTAATGCTTTCTTAACTGTAGAACGCTGATGAAGGATTTTTGATTTTGAACTGAAATATACTGAAATTCCACATTATTTCATTTGAGTCTGCCCTGTGAAGTGGCAAGCAGGAGTGGGTTTGCATGTCGTTCGAAAGGATTGCAGTTCTGCAAAGTACCAAGCATTGCCTTTTTGCAGTTCACCCACTGCCATAACCTTATGTCCAAATCAGTTCATCTCTGTCTTAGCGTCTATGAGATGTACAAACTCCACTTCATAGTTGTTATGAGTCTTCAGCTAAGGTTGTTTTAAGGGTAAAACTCCAGTGATGTCGTGAAGCTGGATGCTGGGATTCGGAAGCTGAGGGTCAAACAGTGAGACGGTTGCTGGAGGGGTGGAGGGGACTCCAGGAAGCTGTATGGGCAGTTGACTCCTGGGAGTACTGGTTCTCCTCTTTGTTCACACCAGTCGTACACAGTCGCCTGTGTCTCAGCAGCCTGTCAGTCCGAGAAAAGTTCTGCAGAAAGGCAAACAAAATCTTTTGACAAAATGCAGAAGACAACAGCAGCTGTGGGATTTTAGTTCGCCATAAAGTTGTAGAACATCTCATAAGATTGTTGTTTGCAAGGGAAAACATTTTAGACAGACCTGATGGCATCGATCACACTGATAAGGCTTCTCTCCACTGTGCACTCTCTTGTGTCTGTCCAGGTGGTACCGCTGGATAAACCGCATATCACAGGCATCGCAAGCATATGGCTTTTCCCCTGGAAACAATTGCAGAAGTGAACAAATAATCAAAATTCTCTAGAAGTTGCTGCTTTATAAAAGTTAAACTCAAGGAAACTTCAAGGCAGGTTAATCTCGCCAATTTTTTATTTTGTTTTTCCAACATCAGAAACAGAAAACTGCCTCTAAATTCTCACCTGTATGCGTGAGAATGTGTCGTTTAAGGTGGTAGCTGCTCCGGAAAGCCCCGTAGCAGTGATCACAGATGAAGTTCTTCTGAACTCTTAAGGAACTGTCATCATCCATATCCATGTTTGGAATCAACACTTCCACTTTCTCCTTCACTTTGTGGGACGACTTTTTGTGCTTCTTCTTGGGCTGAGAATTCTGGTTTGTCTGGACATCCTTCCCATCAATGATCCTTGATGTGTGATACTCCCCATCTTTGCGGATAAGCTTTAGAATAAGAGAAACATAGCAATGACTGGATATTCAAATTCAAAGCCGTTTGTCATCCTGAACTGCAGCAAATAAAATATACACTAAATCTTTAACATTTAAAAAAAGCACAACATGTTATAATCCAATTTGGAATAAACAAGACAAACGTATTTGTCGACAATGAGGCTTATACTGACTGATTCCAAAGGTGGAGCCTAGTGATGGAAAAAAGACTTCCTGTAAAGTGCTGGAAAACAAAAACTGCGAAAACAGAGCTAACGAATCTCTGTCTTTCCAGTTCCTCGCTATGTTTATCGAATGCAAGCAGGGTTGTTTTAGCTTATTATATCAGGCGTGATTGGTGCGTTGTTATGAACACTGAGCTCAACGTCATCAGGTAAATTTGCGGATCAACCTGGGTTTGGTGTTACCACTGCTTGCCGATTGGAGCAGAGCCGTTTTGAATGCATTTTTTACCCATGTCACTTGCAGAGGTTGGATATAAATTTCTCACTCAGCATTTCAGTTGGCGGTAATACGCTTAAAGTGGGTTTGCCGCCACATACAAAGATAAAGAGAGTCATAGCTGGGATGAAATATTGGTTAAAAAAAAATGTAGTTTTAATTTTCTAAATATCCTTCAGCCCCACAGAGGGACAGGATAGTTTGGAAAACTCTTTCCCTTAATGACTAAAATTATGATTTAAAGGCACACTATGCAACATTTTTCAGTTAATTAATGTGTTCCATAACATTTTGGATGATTAAATGAGTCATTTCAGGTTGAACAAAGGTATTCTCGGCCGCCCTGGTGGTCTGTGGGGGAAAAACCGCACTTGCAATTGCAGGAGCACCGACCCGCACCCACAGGCTCAAAAGTCTCTCGAGAGTCGGTCTTGCTTTACGGCGAGAACTGCTACACGCCCCCAGTTAAAAGCATGCTCGTTGCTAGCACAGTGGCGATCTTTGTGCAGCGCTGCTTTCACACCGGACACAGCAAAAGCAGCAAAATCGCGTCTGCTGCTTCCTTTTTGCTGCTTGTACCATTGAGTTCTGACGCGCGGCTGAAGCAGCTTTGCTGCTCTCGCTGCGCGGTGCAAAAGTGTGTCTGACGCGCTTTGGGCGGAGCTTCACTATCCTTTCTCTGCCTTGCAGCTATATTTGCTGTGATCAGTGGGAATAAAGTAGTTTTAATATGTTTTTAAGTGAGAAAATACACCTGAAAACGTCATCAGTGCAGTCAGTTCATTCAGATTATAATCCTGCCTTCCAATATTTTTTCTGTCGGAGCCGCTCAGACCCCCACATACCAGCGGTGCGCCGACAGTAGGAAGCCCTTCATCAGCAGCCTCTGGCTGGGTCGCCTCCTCGCGGTTCACGGCGGCAGCTGGTAGGTGTTTTTCATCTAAATAATCCAAACTGGAGGCAGCAGGATAATAAAAGCGAACATATTCTGCTGGTAGATTTCTGCATTTTAAGTTAATTTAGGCGTCAATAAACCGTTTAAGAGGAGTGATAATAGCGCTCTGATCATCAGCGCTGTGTCTCTCTCCCTGCCAGCTCCCAGATCAGCTTCTCTGATTGGTTTACGCGGTGCATCGAGCAGCAAAAATAAAATTTTTCCATCTCGAGCAGCAGCGCGTTTGCGGCGCGTCACAAGCGTCAGATGCTTAAACGCGCCCGACGCGCTGCTTCAGCTGCTCAGACGCGCTGCGCCTGCTGCTCAAAACGCGCCGCGGGACCTTTTGCTGCGCCTTGACGCGCGTCAACCATTGACTTTGCATGTAAACTCGCTGCTTCTGTCACGCCAGCTGCGTTCGCCTGTCTGCTAAGCTCAAAACAACCGCGCCTGGCTTGACGGAGAAACTAGGAAAACAGCTATGCATATTTACGACAGTGCACTTTTACTTTCGCCCTCTGGGGGGAGCCTCGCTGGAAAATCAACACCGGTTGCATAGTGTACCTTTAAATACAACTTTTTTTATTTACTTATTTATTTACTGCCTGAACAAAGGAAAGATAAAAAAGCAAAAAATTTAAGAAATGTGAAGGGGTAAATGCCTTTTCACAACAATAATGCAGTTATTGGAAATCTCTAGATTACAAAACACTGTAAATAATTATTAACATTTCCACAGTCTTAGTCCTAGACCAAATGTGTAACTAAATGGTTTTGAACAGAGCGAAATCAGAAAAAAAAAAAAAAGCAGTAAAAAGTAGATATAATAACCTTCAGGCATGGAGAAGTGAGCTGCATTTCTCTCACCAGTGGAGGACAGCTTCCTTCAGAAGCATGTCCCATGTGACTGTGATGACCTTGCCCATGGTGAGATTGGTGCCCTTGATGGTTTAGGCTGTGCTGCGAGTGCGTCTGGTGGCCCTCAGGACTGGACCTGTGGCTGTGACCTGAGGATGACATCATCTTCTTCTGGCTTGGGATGTTGTTGGCTTGCATCAGGGCCATGCTGGACAACACCGCCTCACAACCCAGCAACCCAGCCTGGCAACACAAACAGCAACACATCAGAGCAATCAGAGGGGGAGGCGAGGTTGAAGGACTCCTCATAGAGACCTAGAGTAAGGGAGAGGGGAAGCTGTAGGTGGAGGAGGGGGGGTTAGTATTTGGAAATGACAGAACAATGCAATCGTGAGGGTGATTTTTGGAGATGAAGAGACTTCCACTGACCCATTTCATATGGTCTCGAACTGAATTGGAATGGTGTGTCATCGCCGTGGTTTGAATGCGTGTGTGTTTGAGGGGATAGAGGGGGGGCTTCACTCAGGATGAGGGGGTGACAGGAGAGACCACAGTCCCCCCCAAATCATCAGGGGCCAAAGCCTGAAAATAAAGGCACACGGATGGATTTGTAACCAAGTATTTAGGTCAAACCTTAATGAGCACTTCTTATTGGGTAAGAAGGCCTCAGGTTTGGCACACATCAAAATGGAAAAGAAAAAACAGGTTAAATCAAATATAAAGAAATGATAAGACAATAAAATAAAAAAATGCATCTGATTTTTTCTTTTAATGTTATTATTATTATTAAATATGTCCCAAGCATGGGAGTATAAAACAATAGAAAACAAAAACTGAGCTGGAAGATCAAAGTTGTGCAAAAAAAAAAACAAAAAAAAAAAAAAAAACTACTCCAACACTTAAACACTTAACACTTAAATGAAATATGCTCAATTTGAATTACCTTAATAACCAACAATTATAATTTAAAGGAGGGTAAGGAGATAGATCTGAATTCATAATATTTGCATAACTGGTTAATTTAACAATCTGTTTGTCTTTTAAAATAATGGATACAGCTTCTTTGACATCATTTAAATCAGGCAACCTTTACTTTTCTTTATAGTGAACAAATACAGATGAAAAAAAGGAGTAAAGTTAAAGGTATAATTTGGAAGAATGAAAAAAAAAATACAGTTCTTACTTTCACCTTGTATTTTTGCCAAACCAAAAGTGCTTATTAATAAGATTGTTGCACAGAAGCAAAGCTAACAGAGAAAGGGGATAAAGCAATGCAGATTAATTGTATAACAGTCTGGCATCAGTTCATGAGAACCCACAGTTGTTGCAGAAACAAGCGTAGGAAAATCAAATTTTTTGAACAACTGCCAAGAGAGCTAACAACACAGATGGTGATATGATTATGTTAGATCATTTCATAAAAAAACAACAAAAAACCAAAAACATTTCCTGCATCCAGAATGGCTAAAGAAGAGGGATAAAAAAAGAAAATTGACCACCTTTTCATGTGAAAACAGCTACAAGCAATTCAAAACTAAATGCTTAAATAAAAAGGATTTCACAAGATGTATGTATATGTGTTTATACAACGGTTATCTGGTTCCTATATCATCCAGAAGTGGCAGCGTAACATATTTTACCTTCTAGGTCCCTGAATATCAAATGTAACAAAAACATTTATTCGCATCAGCTGCTGTATTTTTCTACAATGTTTTAATGTTTAAAGTGTGACACCCTTCTTTTCCATGAACTGTGTTACATTCTTCACTGGTTCATTATTTCATAGTTGCTCAAAGTTCTAGAATCTTTAGGAGAACAAGTCCTCTAACTGTAAGTTCAAAATGAAAAATTCCTTAAAACCCTGTAAAATGTACAAATACAATACACTATACAAAAACAATACACTGAAAGTGCCTTGCAAAGATGGTAAAACATCTTTAAGTTTTACCAGTCCATCATCTAACATTCAGTGTTTCTATTTGTGGTGAATGCAAAACATCAAACACAAAGTAGCTAGTAACATTTGGAGCTATAAAGATTTTTTTGTATATAAATTTTAATTTTTTCATTTCATTTGTTCAATTTCCTGTATGTTTCTTTCGGTTCTGAAGAGCTATAGACTGACCCCAACCGGTTCCAGTTGTACTTCAATCACATATAGACACAAACCCATCTGCTGCTGACTATCAAAAAGTCCATCAGCCCCTTTCATAGAATGAACTGGCTCAGATGTTTCTGTGATGACAAAGTTTCTTGATTCTTTTGCTGCCTTTCTTTTTTTTCTTTTCTTTGGATCATATTGCTGGTGTTTAGCTCTATTCCCTTTCTTTCCAACTAGCTTTAGACACCTCCCCAATAACATGATGCTACAACGTACATTTTTCCTCTGTGGGGACGGTGTTTTTACGCTGATGTGCAGTGTTACTTTTCACCAGGTGTAAAGTTTTGCATGCAAGCCAGGAAGATTAACTTTGATCTCTTCTGACAGAAAATGCATTTAAGGTGTCTTTCACATGGCTTAATGCAAATATATTCAAGATAAATGAGGTTGAAGTTTCTTTTACTGTTGATTTTTCCCGTGAATTTTACATCATATCAATATTTGTGTAGCAAACCTAAGTTGTGGATCTTTGCTGATTTTCAAAAGCTTCTTGGCAGCTCTCTGATTAATACTCTAGCATTAAGTTAGCAATCATGAATAGGCAGTTATGTGTTGAGTATCCAGCAGGAAAATGAACAACCATCTCAGTCTTAGTAACAGTATTTCCTATTTTGATTGATGGCTTTTATAATAGGATGCTCAAAAATGCATTATACACACACACATATATATTTATAATTTTTTTTCCCCCTAATGCTGTTTAAATTACTACATAAATATATTCCTGAGCACTTTAGTGTGATTATTCTGTCTTTTAAACTACTAAACCAATATGGACGCGTTTATACACAGTGTGTAACTCTGGATTACATTTTGGTATATCAGAGTAAAAAGAGGCTAAATGCAAACGCATGTCATATTTTTAAGATGCATTGTTTTCCTCAAAGGAAAAAAATCGTTTTATTTTTAACTAAACTTTACATTAACATCCCATTTGAATTACATGAAGATATGTGATTATAAAATGCCAAAATTTAAGAATGATTGAGGCGTACGAATTATGGTGACCAAATTCCAAATCCCCTAAATAGCTTTAATAAAATGTACTAGAATGGCTCCATTTATCGTTTATTTAAGAGCCATTCATAAATTCGTGCTTCCAAGCAATCGTTTTACATTTTAAATGAACTGTTCAGAGATTAATGCTCATTAGCTGTAAAAACACGCATTATAAATAGGCGTAAAACAGGCTTTAGCTAGAACTGATAGCGCTTGTAAGCGATAGAAAAAGCTTAGATTTAAAATATCCTTCTGAGTCCAATGTAATGACATTAGCAAAGACCACAGTATCCAAGAAGCTCTCCAACAATAAAGGCTTTGGAACAACTCTGGTGTAGCTACACTGGACCCCCACCCCCCGACACAGACAACAACAGCCAAGCAGCAGGCAGGCTGGCAGGGCGGGCTCAAAGCCTCCCTCGTCGGCTGCAGCGGCCAGAAACGGCCGAGAGGAGAATTTCACGTAGCGCAGAGAGCTGCGGATAGAAAACACCTCTGAGTAGAACGCTTACCTTTCGAATTATACGGTTTTTAGGAACAATATTTCTTGTCGTGGTTCCAATTTTTTCTCAGTTTACAAACACTGACAGGAAGTACTATCACCGGAAGTGCTCCCCGGAGAGCGCTCTGGTTGGTCATATGGAGGAACACGTGACCTCTGACCGCCTCTTCGGTTAGGGGCCATATGTGTTTAGGAAAAAAAAAAAAACATGGGATAGATAAATTTAAGAAAAATAAATAAAGGTTTTCAGGTATTAGTTGTATTGTATTTATTTGTTATATGTGCATAAATATGTAAACATTTAGCAAACTAATTTCCTGACTTATATCAGAGATCTGATTGTTCCTTATGTTCCTAACAGAGCACTTCGCTCTCAATCTGCAGGTTTACTAGTGGTTCCTAGAATTTCTAAAAGTAGAATGGGAGGCAGATCTTTTAGTTATCAGGCTCCTCTCCTGTGGAACCAACTACCAGTTTTAGTCCGTGAGGCAGACACCCTGTCTACTTTTAAGGCTAGGCTTAAAACTTTCCATTTTGATAAAGCTTATAGTTAGGGTGGCTCAGGTTATCCTGAGCTATCTCTATAGTTATGCTGCTATAGGCTTAGACTTTTGGAGGACATAGGGACCCCTTTTTCATCATTCTGCTTCATTCTCTCTCTGTTCTCCTATTCTGCAGAATCTGTTAGTTCAATCTCTAACCTTCTGCTCTCTCTGCTTTTCCTCAGAGTAGCTTTGCCTCGTCTGTTCCTGTTTGGCTGTGACGTCATCCTGGAAAGAAACATCAGCTGTGCTGCTTCTATCAACACCCTTGTTTATAGATGTTGGAGATCGGCCTGTTTTCCAGTATGGTCCTGTTTCTCTGACCGTGACTGAGTGGATGTGCTCTCTTCGTCCTCTGGCATGGGAGCTGCCTTGGAGCTCGTCTGCCTGGCTGTGTGTTTCCTGGACGGGGCCGCCTTTTACAGCTGCTTTTTGTATCTCTGCTTCTGTCTCCTTGAACCCCAGTCGGCCTCGGCAGATGGCCGCTCACACTGAGCCTGGTTCTGCTGGAGGTTTCTTCCTGTTAAAAGGGAGTTTTTCCTCTCCACTGTCGCTACAAGCATGCTTAGTGTGGGGGATTGTATTTGAGTCAATGAGTCAATGCAATCAACTGGTTTTCCTTAGATAGAAAACTTTGTATCAATTTGACTGTATGATCTGGTTGAACTGTAAAGTGCCTTGAGATGACATGTGTTGTGAATTTGGCGCTATATAAATAAACTGAATTGAATTGAATTGAAATTAAAGGCATTCAATACAAGACATGTATATTAAATGAAAATACACAGAGGCGTAGCCAGAAAATACTAATAGGGGTAGCCATTGAATATCCAATGAACATTGAGGAGTGGCCGAAAGGCACCAGAACCTCAGGGTCAATCTACACCACAGGTTTCAAACCGGTTCCAGAAAGGGCGTGTGGCTGCAGGTCTTCTTTCCAATCAAGCAATATCACACCAGACTCCAGTCACCTCATCAAGTGAGTCCAATCTGAACAAGATGACTTGATGAGATGACTGGAGTCTGGTGTGATATTGCTTGGTTGGAAAGAAGACCTGCAGCCACACGGCCCTTACTGGAACCAGTTTGACACCCCTGATCTACACTGTTCCAACAGGAACATGCACAACATCCATATTTTCTAAATAAAGACAAACTTTACTTTCCTGCAGCCTTTGCTAACAAATAGACGCATATATTTAAACATCTACGCTGTGTAAAAAAAATGTATAGTGGGCAAAATTCTTTTAGGTTTGAGTTCTGGGGCAAACATATTTCAGTTGTCATTACCTACTTTTATCAATAACCATTCTGAAAAAAAAAGATATTTAAATATACTAATATCCACATTTAATGAATTTTTATGTTATTAAAGTAGTTATTTAGCTATGATTTCACTGAAGACTCCTAGATGACCTGCAGATGCATGCAATTTTTATCTTTACCCCAAATAATTAAAAAGGTAGTTCTGAAAAGAGCATGAATTCTATATCTATCATCTTTAATGTTTGTATATTGATGTGCAAAGAAGACCTGCAGCCACACGGCCCTTACTGGAACCAGTTTGACACCCCTGATCTACACTGTTCCAACAGGAACATGCACAACATCCATATTTTCTAAATAAAGACAAACTTTACTTTCCTGCAGCCTTTGCTAACAAATAGACGCATATATTTAAACATCTACGCTGTGTAAAAAAAATGTATAGTGGGCAAAATTCTTTTAGGTTTGAGTTCTGGGGCAAACATATTTCAGTTGTCATTACCTACTTTTATCAATAACCATTCTGAAAAAAAAAGATATTTAAATATACTAATATCCACATTTAATGAATTTTTATGTTATTAAAGTAGTTATTTAGCTATGATTTCACTGAAGACTCCTAGATGACCTGCAGATGCATGCAATTTTTATCTTTACCCCAAATAATTAAAAAGGTAGTTCTGAAAAGAGCATGAATTCTATATCTATCATCTTTAATGTTTGTATATTGATGTGCAAAGAAGACCTGCAGCCACACGGCCCTTACTGGAACCAGTTTGACACCCCTGATCTACACTGTTCCAACAGGAACATGCACAACATCCATATTTTCTAAATAAAGACAAACTTTACTTTCCTGCAGCCTTTGCTAACAAATAGACGCATATATTTAAACATCTACGCTGTGTAAAAAAAATGTATAGTGGGCAAAATTCTTTTAGGTTTGAGTTCTGGGGCAAACATATTTCAGTTGTCATTACCTACTTTTATCAATAACCATTCTGAAAAAAAAGATATTTAAATATACTAATATCCACATTTAATGAATTTTTATGTTATTAAAGTAGTTATTTAGCTATGATTTCACTGAAGACTCCTAGATGACCTGCAGATGCATGCAATTTTTATCTTTACCCCAAATAATTAAAAAGGTAGTTCTGAAAAGAGCATGAATTCTATATCTATCATCTTTAATGTTTGTATATTGATGTGCATGATTAACTGTAGTGTTTCTGTTGTCAAGTAGTTGTTATTATATTAACATATTGATATTACAAATTTTAATGTTTAATAAGTTTGAACATTCCCCTTCAGAGTATTACTGCTGCCACAGTCTGTATTAGAACCAAAAATGGTAGGGGTGGCCATAGGGGTGGCCAATGATTGGCTAAGGGTGGCCATGTCCACCCCTGGCCTCCCATCTAGCCCCGCCCCTTAAAATACAGGGAACAAAGATAAATGTAAAGAAAGTCAGACATACCACAACACTTATTTATTTGTTCATCTATCCAGTTGTGATGCAATATGTGTGATGTTATACAACTATACTTATACAGCAGGTTTAGAAAAAAAAAACAAAAAAAAACAATTAGTATTTTAGAATTAGTATTTTTTATGTTTAACCATTTTATGTGGCTACAATTATTTCTGTCACAAATCTTTTCCCAGTCTCTCTATTTCATCAAGGAAGAAGTCCATGTCTGCTTGGGAAATCAGGGGGGAAAAAACTGTTATGCGGAAAAAATTGACCCTGTCTCCAAGAGGTTGGTAGCCGACCATCATAGTGCCTTGCTTCATCATGCGTTCCTTGATTACTGGAGCAACCTATTCATAAAAAACAAACAAACAATTATACCATTTATAACTAGAATTAATTTTTTTAAAAAGAACGCTTTTCATTGTTACAAGCTAAAGCTAAATTTTTACACAGATGTGTATAAATTACTTTAGGGGAAACATTTACTCAGAAATATCAAAACATAATAATGTCAGTTTTCAGCGATGTCCCTGAAAGAGAAATTTACCTTAGCCAGTCTGCTCTGATAGTCAGCATTTTTTTCCTTCCCTCTCAGACTCGGTGGAATGAACCAAAAGCACACATTCACAAACTCTGGCTGTGCACGGGGGACATTTTTAACATACAGTATAGCAAGTAAAAAAACAACAACACCATATTAATATATATTGTTTTCTTTAAATGTGAACTTACCTCTCTCAGAAGTTGGAACCCATCTCTTTTCTTCATTTGATCCACTAAATACCTGTTCAAAATAACAAGTCTTTTCAATACTTATTATTCAATACTTTGATTTGCCATTAAGTTTTGTAAGAAACTGCAAACAAGAAGAAAGATTTGTTTTTAGTGTATTAATTATAGTCTTACAAGTATTTAACTTTTTAAAAGTTTTGGAGAAAATGGGTGCTCAAAATTTAATTTACTAAAATAAACTACAGATAGTGGGAAGATCTATGGTTCACCTCTTTTTCGGATAATAACTGATGCTGATGTGGAACACTGTTGGAAAACATTTGGTTTCTTTGACAAACCACATATTATTCAGGTTTGATGTTTTATTATTAAAAATCTTGAGCACAGATGCAACAAAACATGTAAGGATTTAGCTAAAAGCTTAGACAAATCAGACACTGTTTCCCACCTCATGCAGTTTTCTGCTCCTTTACTGCAATCTTTTGGTCAAAAGCAGTGTGCACTAAAACAAAGCTGCTAAAATGGTTGGACTGCTACACTTTAAACCATAAGAAAACCCAGAACCATGTTTTTCAATTGTTTTTATTTTATTTTAATTTATTAGAACAACACAAGTATTGTAGATATCATGGTTTGTTTGTCTTTTTTAAAATATCTTGACTACACTTTATTGAAAGCTTTTTTTTCATGTAATTCAAACTTCCACCAAGGGTTTCATCTTATTAATTAGCTTATGCTGTAAATGTCACCATGTGCACAATCATATGCTAAAGAATTTATTACCCAAAATAAACAACAAACTACAACATTTAAACTATAAAAGCCCTAGAAGAATATATATTTACTGATATTAAAAGTGTAGAACAAATGACTCATCCATTTTCTTGTGATCAGTTGCCACGAGCGCTTGGTTTTATGGAAAAATATCAGAATGAACAAACACAAAAAAAAAATCTAAATTATTAGCTATATTAGCAATGATTTTTGAACTATTTAAAATTCAGATTGCATAAATGCATTATTTACTTCGATTTTGTTTCTTTTTTTATTTTTCTCATACCTTGCATGTAGAAAGGCTTTGTCTACACGCTGTTCCAATCCAGTAGAGCCGATGGCTTTCCACATCAGCCACAGCTTCAGACAGTCAACTTTGCGGCTGCACTGCAAAGACTTATCCCCGATGTCCAGATTCACATCGTAAAATTTGTCTTGCTGGAACAGATATGCTGCATTTGCACTGTGGCACTTCTTCAGTAAGTTCTGTGGAAAAGAAAATTTAAAATGAAAAAACTTCAATACAAACATTTTTATAAAAATATAAAATGAGGTATAAATCAAACCGTGGTATCCTTAAGCAGCAAAACAGAGCACTGCAGGCCAGCAACCAGCATCTTGTGTGGATTCCAGGCTACTGAGTTTGCTCTAGTGACAAATGGATATAAACAGAATAACATTCACGGGCCCACATAGCTTACCTGCAGACATAACCGACCTTTATCACATTGTACAAATAAGAAATCACAAACTAAACCTTAAACAAAGCATTAGGTATATCAAGTAAATCAATACCTGTGAACTCCTTCCATCAGATGTCTGTGTTTCTTGGAAAACAGCACACTTCCTCCCCAGGCAGCCTGAGACAAGTGACGAAACAACAAAAAGGATAGAAATACACTCAGTATAAAAAAAAAACAATGAAGCACTTGCAATATCTTCAACGACTTCAACATGAAGTATATTCCCATAAAGACTCACGTCAACGTGCAGCCACAGCTTGTGTTTGTCACAAACATCAGCTATGCGATCCAGCGGATCAAAAGCCCCCTGCACTGTAGTGCCTGCGGTGCAGCTCACAAGGAAAGGCACACTACCCTGGTAGAAGGAAAGACTATTTGATTATGCTTTGCAAACCTTTCATACCAAATAAACTATTGCACATATTGTCAATCACAACCACAAAGTCTAATGTATTCTTAACACTTTTAGTTGATAGACCAACATAAAGCAGTAAATAATCATGACCAGTTGGAAATGCACAGATGCATGATTAAACAAAATCCAAAGCAACCAATTACCTACAGTTGTTTTCAAATATTTAAAACGAGAACTTTGAACGTAAAAAGGCAACATGAAGACCAGCGATCTCTTCAGGTGGTTTAGAGAAAGAGCTGTGGTAAGGTTTCAGAGCAGGTTTTTTATTTAAAAAAAAAAAATAAAAAAAACCCAAACATCTCCAGCTTTGAATATCTTCTAGAGCTTTGTTAAATCAATCATCTAAAAATGAAAAGCTACCAAGACATTGCTGCCCATCTAAATGACAGGTCACTGAATCAGAGCAGCCACAAGGCCAATGGTAACTCTGGAGGGGAAGATAACTGGATACACAATCTGTCTTCCACAACTGCCAACTTCCAACAACAATATATGGAAAAGTGCGAAAAAGCTGATTTGATCAGATGAGACCAAAACTAAACTTTGTTGAAATTCAATGGTTTATGTAGAGCAGAGGTAACACTGCACATTATAAACTAACCCATCCATGAAATATGGCTCTGGGAACATAATGCTGAGGGGATAGTTTTTTATCAAATGGGTTAATAAAAACTGGTCAGAGTAGATGGTCAGATAGACTGGGCCAAACACAGGGCAATCCCATAACAGAACTTAAAAAAAAAAATGCACATGTACAACCCTGTACCCCTCCAGAGAGGAAACACCTATTAAACGTGTGTTAGAGCATTAATGAGCCCATTTCTCCTCCTGCACCCTCCATTTAGAAGTTGCTGCTTGCATCGCTCATACAAGCTTACTTTCCTTAAGAAGATTTGCAATTTTTCCACTATGTCAGTATCTCAACCGGTAAGTGAAAATGGGGATGAGCACGTTGGACGGCCTTACGTAAACATGATTGACAATTAGGAGGACTGCTTACTTTGATGTTCTACCTGGAGAAAGAACACCCTCCACTATACCTTAATTCACTTTTTTAAGACTGTAGTCAGGCAAAGCTATAATCAAAGTATGTGTAAGAATGGCCAAGCCAAAGTCCAAGGCTAAATCCAGCAGATAATCTGTGGCACAATCTGGAAATCACTGTTCACAGAAATTCTCCATCCAATCTGACTGAGGCAGAACTATTCTCAAAAGACCGAACATGCCTCGATCATGCTGGTGAAGATTCTCAGTCATCCAGGTCATAGTCATTACAAAAAAGTAAAAAAAAAAAAAAACACTGAGTCAGAATTAGTGTTGAGTTCAAAGCTTTATATAGTAGTCCAACAACTTGTTTTGGCTTAGAAAACATGCAAATTGAACCAATTGGTCCAGTCAATTGTTTTTTTTTTTTAACTTTTTTTGAATTCCTTGATCATCTCCCTACAAACCTGCTGTTGCAGCAAAAGATAAACATACAAAGTACTCAAAGTCAAAAATTACAAATGCACGTCACTCTTCTAAGATTTTTATTTGTTGAAAAATAAGAAAATCATCTGTCTTTTACTTTCAATTTCAATCATGCACGAAAAATGTTTTGGTCCATCATGAAGCAGTGGTGAAAACTTATGCAGCACACTTTATCTCAGACATACACTGTTATATTGCATAATTGAAACATCAGTTTATCTGAACAAAGACAGACCACACTTCAGTACATTTACCTGAGATTTTGAAAGCTCTATTTTTTCATCCAGGTCTTCTGGAATCATGTGACCTCTGTGGTGAATTTAAACACATTGATAAGGACAGAAAAAGAGTGAGGTAATCATTTTATTTTAGTTATTAGAATCTATAAGAAATTAGCCTAAAAGTGTGAAGACTGTATTTGCTTTGGATAAACTCTGTGATTATGGCAGGAAATTTCTAAAGAATAGTTTGTGTAAAAAAAAAAAAAAATTACCCATCATCCACTTTCACCAAGATGACATTATCCATTCCCAAACCCAGAAATGCAGCACCCTTCTTTACAGAGTAATGGCTCTGAAAAACATGGCAGGCCGTAAAATATTTGGACAGGAATCTAAACAGGAATACTGCAAAGCAGGACAAATATTTGGAAGACAGACACACTTTTCTAAGCAAGTTCGAGCTTCTGCCTGTACTAAACTTCTGAAAAATCTGAGTTTTATGGATTTTTCTCAGAATTTACTGGCTTAGTTTTATAGTAGCGAAGATTTACCAGAGTCACATAGTCAGTGCCAAAGTAAAAGAAACAAACAAAAATAACAAATTACTTTTTTCTCTTGTTAAAGCCAGCCTATTTTGACAAAGCAAAGTCTAAACAAAGAAAATATATTTTGTCTTGCTTCTAGCTTATGGTGGCCGATTTTCATTCTGAACATAAAGCATGTTTCATCATCTCAGTCATACAGGGCTATACGGCCCCTCATACCTCCGGTGATGTAAAGACGGTCAGTCGCGGGAGACTCCACAGGCCCTGGCTTTTAACCTCTGGGTAGAGTCTGTAGCGTGCGAGGTTCATGGCGTAATTGTTTGAGGTGGATCCTCCAGGGCAGAAAAGGCCGTCCCCTTCTGTCCAGCCCACCAGCTTACGGAGCCCTCTGAGCACCTCAGCCTCCATCAATATAAAGACTGGTGCAACTTCATAGGTGAAGCTGTAGATTACAATTACAGAGTCTGATCATTTGTCTTATAATTTATCTAATCTGAAAAGGAGCAAAGTGATTGCAGAAGGGAGGAAATAAATAGTGTAATTAGCTCCATTCTATCATTCTTTCTTCAGTCTTATGAAAATTTACCTATGAAATGAAAATGAAATTATACCTATGTGAGGAGATCATAACTGACTACCAAAAAATTAGTTTGGAAAGAAAAAAATACAGAAATAATGATGCAGCTCATCAAAATAAAATGAAAACAATTCATAGGAATTTAATCTGGTGCTACACAGAACTGGATTTGGATAATCCTGGGAAATCTCTGGCCACAAGGGAGCAGGATGAAACCTGATGTAGAATGATTTCCTCCTTTTTATAATAAATATAATCTCAAAATTGAAAAGTAATGTTATTCTGTAATAGAAATCCCTCTGTTACTGAAGCACACACACTAAAACCAATAAAGCTTTACTCTCAGACACATTTTACATTTCTTAATGAAATCAGTGTTTTATATTCTATATTTCAAAATGGACAAACATAAAGTAGATAAAATATTTGGCCATTACAAAGAATACAAAAAAAAAAAGATATAGCAGTGTTGTCGTTCTTCCACACACGTCTTTATATAAAGTCCAGAAAGGTTCATATAAAGAGAAGGTCTCATCTCAACATAGGATCCTCATCCTCATTTCTGCTGCCAAACATGGATTGAAGCCAATTTGAAAGGGATTTTCTTATGTTTTCTCATTGCCAGTCTTCATTAATGGCCATATCTGGGGTGTTTTACCTCTCTAGTTAATACTACTTCCACCTGAGCTGTAGATTTCTGCTAATCCTCCAGAGTAAGTGGAGTAGGTGGTTTGCTTTTGTCAAAATCTTTCCATTTTGAAATTTTTGATGGAACACCGCTCTTCCAGTGTTTTATATTGTTTCATAACCTAAACGTGTTTAAGGTGTTATAACTCAAGCCTACTTTAAATGTCAACATGGAGAGATTACTCTCCAAGATTTGTGCAGGAAACCAAATTTAAGGTATCAGAATAAAATGGGCTGAATATGTTTTTACATCGGACTTTGTTCCTCCATTTCATATTTTGATGGGAAAAATCTATCTCCTATTTATGTCCTTATGCATATATTTATATAGGTATATATATATATATATATATATATATATATATATATATATATATATATATATAGGTGTGTTTGGATACAAGAAATACTTATTCCCATAACAAGCTGGATCTTTTCTCAAGGTTTATTCACAACGTTACTGTTTAACCAAAGTGTCTGTAATTTGTTTTGACTCTGTCTACTTTCCATTACTTTAAGTAAGGGAAACAAACCCTGTCCAGATCAGAACAAGGCTGATTACCATGCAATAAGGGCTGTATGATGTCTTAAATGCAGGGTGAAATCCATTGATCTTCATTTGTTTAACTTGACTGAATAGTTGAATATTTTTCCCCCCACAAAAATATTTATGTACTATTGTTTGTTGGACTATCCCAAAAGATCTTAATAAAATCCACTGATGTTTGTTTTAGATCTTGATAAAAATGTGAATAAAACCAGGAAACTCATTAAACTCTTTGAAGATAGAGCACACATGAAGCCAATACATTTCTGATTTTGGAAGTGAAGGACTCTGAGGTCGTAAAGCTTACTATCTACCACCATATCCTTAAAATACCCCCACAGATTATCTGTTATGTAAAACTTTTGAGCATAGCTCATCCAAAGTTAACGCGATCACCAATCAGAAGAACGTAATGGTGAAATGGAAAAAATAAATAATCTGACAGGAGAATGAGTAGTTTCAGTCGTAGCAGTATTTTCTGTCTCTTACAGATTAGTGTTGAGGGCTTCAGAGAGGAAACGTCCAGCCAAAGAATGATAATCAACACCACCGTACTGCTGATTGAAGAAACGTGGATGACCTGTAAAGACAGTCAAACACCCCCAACAGAGTCAATGAAAATGATGATAAACGGTTTTGTTTTTCTTCCAGATCTTACTTGTTTTAATGCTGTACTTTGCAACATCTTTCACTCTCTGTAGGACTCTTTCCTGGGGCTCGCCGTTCTCTCTCAGCTCCAGATCCAGCAGCAGGGCTAGCTCCTCTGGCTCTTTCCATTCACACACCTGCATCAGGGATACAGAAAATAAGAATTTTAGATTCAGAACAGCAGCTGTAATCTGACAGGAGGTATTTCTGGTGCTTTGCTGTCTAGAGACCTTCTCCTTGACATCTGTGCCTTTGCAGAGCACCTCCTCCACAATAATTTTAAAGGCTTCATGAAGGAAGAGTTGTCCCTCTGTGTGGTTAATCAGAGGATCGCTCAGGTCACCAATGGTTGGTTCCATCATCTGTCCGTCTGCTGTTAAAACAGTTGCAAAGATTTAATACAAAGAAAAACAGACAGATGCTTTACTTACAGGGAAATTGAGATATTTTTGCCATAATTAGATTCAGTAAGCTGGCAAACCTCTGCTACTGCTGTGAATTGTGCACGCAGAAAGAAAAGAGAATCCTTCTAAGATGCAAAGGTGAAAAACAATGAAGGAGGACCTCAACCTTTGTCCCATAGTGAAAGTTAATCAATTATGTGTGAAACTAGTCAGGAGAGAGGGAGAAACAGTTGAGTTCAGTGACTTATTACATGTCTGCCATATGAGAAATCTAATCACGCTTTGTGTGAATTTTTCATGAACAAAGTCCGGTTTTAATTGATTCTCATCAGTTCACAACCACATGTGATTTAACTGTCAGATAACATTTCACATTAAAAATGAAAAAGACAGCTACTTAAGTTAATTGAATTCCACTTATGCATTTTAAATGAATGAAATTTCAAGATTGTAGCATACTGTGTCTGCTTAAAGTCAGCCCTGCTAAAGATGCATAAAAAAAACACTTATTTTTATTTTGAATAGATGTATTTGGCTAGTTGTGGTTCATATCATGTTAATGTTTTTTTTCTTTCAGGACAAAATTAGTGGGGCTCTACGATCATTGCTGTTGCAGTACCGTAGTCAGTAGTGCAGCACATAGTCTTCTGTGAGATTTCACAAGACTGAAACAAAGCATTTAATATTTGCCTGTTTCTCTTTACAAGGTGATCTCTTATGCATCTTATCTTTAGCTCACCAGTCATTTCCTGTAGAATTTAGGTCTGATAGGTCTCGGGCTTTGATCTATTTGAAGCATTTCTGTGCAGATTTTGCCAAATATTTAAGTCATTACATTCTTTAAAGACCATCAATGATTCATTTGTTAGTTTATTGATGATGCAAAGTAAAAATTTTTATTTCTTGAAGCCATGTACTCAAACAAGCTGTCTAGGAATCCCCAGGATTAAAGGAGGCCCATTTCATCACAGGTCTGTCTCGGTACATATCAGTTGGTATGAAGTGCATATTTTTTTACTTATTTGTCCTTTAAAGGTGCTACAGAACTAGAATGCTTTTGGCAGTCTAAGCAAAATTCTCAGTCAAAACATTTAAGGAAGAATGGGCCTTTTTAATAGTGTCACCTCTAAACAAGCATCTAGACAACAGCAGGTATGTGAGACAGCCTTAACAGATCAAGAAATGATTTGCCTTTATCTTGCAATGATCATAGTGATCAGATAATTGTTATCAGATAGAAAGATTTAAGAAGGTAATGAACATTTTAATAATCCAAAAACAGTAAAGCATCCTTACGACACATTAATTTTACATTTGTAAAGGGTTGCAACAATTAGGCCACCACTAATTATAAGGTCTAGGGTTTCCGCAAAACTAGATAAGTATAACATAAGTTTTTCAACATTAAGTTCTATTAAAATGTTTCTTAAGACTTAAACTTAACTTAAATATGAAAAAAACAAATAAAAAGAAATTCTAAATTATGATCACTAATACTCTGAGAATGAGAAAATTAACAAAAGTTAAAATTTATTACCGTACATTATTTTCAAGTCGTTACAAAAATACATACAAAAATATAGGAGGAGAATTTATTTCCACTCTAAATCCAAGTTTCTTTTAACAGTAAATAATAAAAAAGGTCAAAACAATCAAATCAACAATCAAAGCTCCTTTTCTTTTTTTGATTCAAAATAGAAAGGATCCCTTTTAGAACTCAAATTTTGTAAACAAATGTGCACAATTGGTTCCTGATGTTTGAAAGTCAAATCTTAGCATAGTTATGTATTATTATTATTAGTATGTACTGAGAAACTCAATTAATTCCAGTAAAAAAACATTTCCAATTAAAAATATCTGGTGTCTCTTGTTGAAAAAGATATTAGTCATTCTCCAACAGGAAGTCAATGCTCTCAGAAGGCACGTCTAAGTCATTCTGACTCAGGAGGGAATGCAGGTAAGCAGCAGTGGCTTCTTCTCTCTTCTGATTGCGCCAGTATCGGAGCATGGCGAAGACTCGTTCCACATGGATTCTTGTCTCCTCTTCAAACTGTTCCAACCTCACAGACGGGATGTCCAGAGCCAGTCTGCCAATCTCCCTCCAAGAACTGCCAATACCCCTAGCCACCTTCATCAGCTGCTTCTCTGTAACCTTACAACAGCCTGTGAAACAACGACAGGCAGATGTTTTAGAAGTTGCTCTGACTGAAAGATGGCATACATTTAACTGGAAAGTGACTCACCATTGGGGCGGACCTTTTTAGTTGGAATTTGATCTTCAGATTCAGACTCTTGAACTTGTAAATAAAGGAATAAAGGACATGTTCGTATTTAGCATGAAATCACCATTTATTGAAACATTTTAAAGCACAGAAGCGTTTAATTTGCTTTGTACCTGATAACGGTGTTTTGACATGCAGATCTTTAACAAAAGCAAGCATAGGAAAAGTCTCCTGCATGTCCTGTTCCTGCAGTAGGTCCAGCATTCCTCGTGCTGCTTTAGGTCCTCTTTGGATAACATGATCCAAAAGGTCTCGCACTTTTTCACTAGGAACGCGACATGATTTAATCCGCTCGTAGCCTTTATCAGAAGGTAGATCACAAGAATGTGCAGACTGCAGGACAAAATCTGCATCCGAACTGAGAATCTTTATCAGCTTCGCCTTGTGGCGTTTTAGCAGCTGAACTACATCTGCAGCTTCCTCCGCCATGACTGAATGATCTCGTGGATAAACAATGGAAGAAATGCAACGTTAGATTATTATTTACCAAGACAATCAATGACTGTAGAGTTTCAACGAATAGAAAATGCTCCAAATGCTAGCTAACCCTCTCTTTAAGAAACAGATTAAAGGGATATTCCGCTAGTTTTAACCAGTTTTTCATACCTCTGTTTCTAAGCAGTTTAAATGCTAAATTATTTAAAACGATAAATCTCGAAATCCTTATTTTTACTTATTTTACTTATGGTTTATTTTGTGATTTTTTTGAAATATTTGTCATCATTTAGACTAAAAAAATATTTTAAGGTGTCTTATATCAACACCTTAAAACAGGTCCTGCAATCTTTAAAGTCTTACAATTATTTTGTTTTTTCTCAATTTATGTTATTTTAATGGTCCTGTTTACATTTTGCAAATTTTTAAAAGTAAAACGCATCACATTTGAACTCACCAATCAATCTCCAGCCTTTTTTGCATCAACAGCATTGGGACATATTTTATGAGCACTAATTTTCTGTTTTCAAGAGATTTTCACAGCTTTTACTTTGCTAACATGTTTTTTATTAACAAACTCAGAGACAAGATGAATATGAGCTTATTAGATGCTTTATTATCATGCTGTTAATGTTTGCATTTGATCAAAACATTATTTTAAAATGATATATTTTGCAGATCATATCATTAACATTAATGTAGAATAATCCCATCCTGCTTGAGTTGTCAGATTAAGGCAGATTTGGTCCTGTGCAAACTCGCTTTAAACTTAAAACCTTGGTGTCTTTCTTGAGATTTTATCTATGTAATAAAGGTTTGTAAATTACAGCTGTTTTATAGAAACTTGACAAGCATCTAGTGTTTTATTTAATCCATCCCAGGATAATCCAACCTGTCATTAATGTCTAGTAATCATTAGTAGATATGTAGATATAATGTTGATAAACCAAAAAAAAGCTTCTTTATTTTTTTTTTACATTTCTAAAGAATTTTACATATCACTATTTTATATTATCTATCAATGCAGGCTAGATTATTTTAATCCATGTTTGCTTTTAGTAGTTTTAGCCCCTTGAAATGCTCTCTTGATGAAAGAAACAAAACAAAAACCCACAATAAATCGCCTAAAACCCTATAACTCTGTGTCTTGGATGCGTAATCCTGTTTTTGTCAATAATTTCTGGAGCAGATCGGAGTCCAAAGGAAATGAGGGGTTACTTCTTTCCCACCATGTATCGGATCTTAAACTGTGACTAAAATGGATGCCAACCTCAGCTTGGAGCGATCCTGTTTATGCTTTTGGTCTCAATTGTTTTCACTCAATTGTTATCCCGATAATGAGAAAACAATCAACGCTTATCTGCACACATCCTTACCATTAACCTTCACAACAGCAGCAATCGAAGCGGAGGGAAAACAGGAGAAGAAACTTCGTCCTTCTCGCTACTTCCTCCTCCTTGTTCCTCTGCAGCCTCTAAAAAGTAGCATTTGTTTGAATGAGTGTGCTCTTTGTCTCCATCTAACGGACTAATCGTGTAACTGCAGCAACCTGAGAGGGGTTGCTGCCACCTAGTGGAGAAGATTATACATTACAGGTAATCTCAAAGTAGGACTCAGGAAATCCTTTATGCTTTCCCAAACACTAGTTAACAATAAATAAATAAGATCCCTCTATCTATCTTGTATATAAACTGCTAGCCTTTTTATAGTATAGTACATTAGGATTCAAGCAGCTGTTTTTATATCATATATTGGTGGTGTAAGCTAGATATGCTGACCTTTTGAAATTATACTTGTTTTGAGGAAGTGCTGACTGGGTATGCAGGTGAAATGGTTGCTGTATGTAAATATAACAAGACATTTCTCAATGTCTATGGGAATAAAAATGTTTGTATTTGTTTTAAAAAAAGACGTTTGATAGCCTATAAAAAAAAAAAAAAAAGAAGCTCATCCAGGTGACAAGGATTTGACAGTTTTCACTGGACTTTTTTGGTTCATTTAAAGTTTGCATTTTGGGTTCTCAGTTATGCTTTATTTTATTTTTGTTTTTGTTTTTATATTATATTTTTATTTGTTACTTGGTCTAGTTTTGGTCATTCTTTCACTTAACTGTAGGTTATGTTTTCCATGGCTTCAGTTATCTCATCCCTTCTCTTATCCTCTAGTTTCCCTGCTGTTCATAAGTTTTATTCCCCTTTAGCCTTATTTAAGTTCTTGTCTTGTTACAGTTAAACCCTGTTTTCCCTGGTTAATCTTTGTTGCTCCCAGTGCCCATTTCCTTTCCCCTTATTTCCTTTCTAGCTGTTTCTGTCCACACCTGCTCCCAATAAACTGATTACACCACTCTTTGTTCTGTCTACCTTATATGCTCCTCTGCAGTTAATCAGTGCTGGATTCTCTTTATTCTTATGTTTGTTTCTCCTAAGCGTGTCCTACTTCTGATTCCTGAGTTCCTCTGCTGAGCTCTGGATTTAATGCTTCTGTACCATCTCCCTCTTCACGAAATTTGAAAGTAATCCTCCCAGCCCTTTGTCTCTGCATTTGGGTCCTCTACAAAACTCCTCCATTCCTGACAGTCCAATTTGTAGTTTTTCAAAAGCCACGAGGAAACATCTGTAAGATGGTGCTCTGGGCAGAGGAGACAAAAGTTATTTTTTTTTTCTTTTTAATCATAGTGCAAAGGCATTTGAACCAGAGAACTGAAACTTTACCTCACCCTAAACCCACTATTCTAGAGCTGAAACTCAGTGGTGGTAGAATTGTGCTGTGAGGATAATTTTCTTTAAAACGGTCCGGGAAGATTGGCAGAGATAATGGGACAGCAGATTAAGCAAACCACACCATTTAAGTGTGTCTATTCACAAACATTTCCCACACAAGCTGCTTGAGCTGTTTTGAGAAGCTGAATGGGTTAAAGTTTTATTATGAATATATACAAAACTGGTAGAGACAATGCCCAAATGGCCTGCGGCTGCAAAAAAATTAATAAAAAATATCAATTTATAAAGTATTGATTCATGAGGGTTAAGTAAAAAAAGAATCACTTTTTTTTAGAATTTAGTTAAAAGAAAAACAGAAATCATATGAAGCATGTATCATTGCACTTTCTCATATGCTAGTTTGTGTTGATCTTACAAATAATAAAATAAAATGAAACATATTCATGTAATATGAAGGAATAAAAAAATTGATATATTTTTTAATAAGTATTCATGAATTTGGGCAATATAAAATGTATCTTTTTAAATTAGTAGCAAGCAGAATATTCCGTGAGCTGACACGCCCTGCTGCTGTAATCCATTATCTGTGTTAAACTGTAAACTAAACATTGCCTTTGTCTGAAGAAGCAAGAAAAAGCAGCATTTGAATGGAACGAGAAGAGTGCTGTGGCTCATTTTTGGAAATAGGGTTAAATTGTGTCGAATGAGAAGAAGACGCAGTCTGCACAGTGCGCAGTGGGCAGCACTGCTGCCTTGCAGCAAGAAGGTCTCGGTTTTACATCCCGGCCTGGACTCTTTCTGCGTGGATTTTGCATGTTCTCCCTGTGCATGTGTTTGTTATCTCCGGATACTCCGGCTTCCTCCGACAGTCAAAAAAACATGACTTAGGTTAACAGGCTTCTCTAAATTCTCCCTAGGTGTGAGTGTGTGCATGAATGATTGTTTGTCCTGTCTCTGTGTTACCCTGCGATGGACTGGAGACCTGTCCAGGGTGTACCCCACCTCTCGCCCATTGACAGCTGGAGATGGGTACCAGCACCCCTCGCAACACCAGCAGGAATAAGCGTGAAATGGATGGATGGATAGAGAAGGAGATGCATCCTGTGCAAAAGCAAATTTTTTAACAGTTTAATTACCTTTATGACAGTGAATTGTACTTTGAACTGTCTTGCTACTCAGATGTGTTATATAAATGAACTTGCTTGAACTTGGCCTGCGTAAATTGAAAACGTATAATTTTTTATCTTATCTCTGGCAATCAAATAGGAGGGATCCATACAGTATCATCGCAGTTCAGGCCTTCTGCCTCCTACAGGACAACAACCATCACCTAATAACATTCACATGTCTACTTTCCCTTTTTACCAGTCTTTTTCTGTAGAAAATGACAAATCAATATCTTATTCCAGGGCAGGTATTTGCTTTGTATGAGAGGAGAAAGCCTCTGGAGTCCTTTTCATCCAGACACAGTATAAACACACTCTGAGTCACTGTGTGTATTAGCTGACTGAATAAATCCAGTTTTCTCTGTGCATACAGTGGGTGGAAAGAGCAGAGTGAATAATCATTTATTCCTGTTATTTATTTTTACCCCCTTGTGAAAGTGCTGCAAAGAAGACAAACACACAATTTATCTACCTATATAAACTTCTAACGGCCTGATTGTGAGATGAAATGGAATTTCTTCTCAGTCACAGTTTTAGGAAGATGCACATCTGAAGCGAAAATGCATTCATCTGGTGATCTAAGAGAGTATGTAAGCATTCAGAGAGATTTCATGCCAAGCAATGCTTCCCTGAACTCAGTTTGCATCATATTACTTCAACACGAGGAAGCGTAGATTGTACAGAATATGACAATGAACTTAGTTTGGTGCTGATCAAGCACAATCCCGCCCCAAGTACTTCTCTTTTCAGGCCCCATCACACTTTCTTTCAAGTGGCAAACTCCACTCATATGTGTGAATGATATAATAGCTCACGCTCTCGACAGCCCTGATGGAGAGTAATGTGGTTTCTGTATGAGTTGCTTAAACTCCTTTCTACGGACCTCTGCACCTGGAAAATTGGGAATCTTTTTATTTTAGATTGTGAGATGTGCAACTGTGAGAGTGTGTGTTTTTCATTACTATGAGAATACCATTCAAGAGCATGCAAACACAGCAGCTTATACCTTCTTACCATAACACCCCAGAATTAGATTTGCATGTAAAAAAATGAAAATAAATTAAAAAGTAAAAGAGTCGACAAAATGCAAGAAAATATACAGTATTGCAACATCTATCTATCTATCTATCTATTGCTCGATGATGACAAGATTTTAAAGGGCCTCATAGATAGTTGTGTGTGCAGAATGGTCATGTCATGTGGTTTCAGGTTCAGGTGGGCAGGTTGTAGACATATTGTATTATTAATATAAACATACATATGAGCAGAACCACATTTTTTATCCAGCAGAAATGACTTTATTGCTTTTTAATATATGTAAATTTAAGATTTTTGCCTGCTGGGAAACACATGATATATATACATGTATTTACAACGTATTTGTATACATATATACATATTTATAAAAAGAAGTATTTTCACAACTTAACAGATTTTGCTCTTGCTTTTTTCTTACATCTGAATTAGCAAAATCAGTGTAACTGTTTTATCTGACATAAAGCTAGATATGTGAAATATAACCATTAACAATAAAAACAAAAAAACAGGAACTCTGTAAATGGATGATACCTGTTTAATGCAATGCCACTCATTGTCGAGTTATTTTGGGGTTTGTCTGCCTGAACTCGACCAAGCTTGGCACAGAGGACGCAGGAAACAACTCAGATCAACTTAGTCACTTCTTTTATTTGACTTTTGTCATTTTCTGTTGAATCATAAGCAGGTTGATAACCTCAACAAAGAAAAGAAAAACAAAACAGATATTAGTTCCACCATGAACCATAGTCACACATGCAAACATGTATAGTTCTCTATATTAGACTTAGTATAATACAGATTAAATTAAATTAAACATTCCTTCTCTCATTTATTTTCTCTCATTTTCTCATCTAATATCTTAAATTAAACATTCTGATCAGTATCATCAATCTCATTTTATGATTTACTAGAACATAAGTGGAAAAATGAAGTAGAATACATACCAGTAGCGTCTCTGTGCTCCACTGACTCAACCACACCCAGGGCAAACAAACAAAAGGCCCATCAGGTGCTCAACCAAGGCTAATCAACCTAGAGCTTCTTGCTCTCTACTCTCTCTCTGAACACCATGTGAACACTTAGGCTCTCTACTGCCCTCTGACACACTCCATGCACAAAGTAGACATCATCACATCCCAGAGTGAAAAATATTAAAAGAAAAACATGAAAAATAAACAGCATACAGCACATAACCCAACACCTCCCACTTGAGCTCCTGGTTAATGAACCCAAGGAGGTCACACTATTGTCTCTTAATGTTGCTCCTCAATAGGAAGCAGAACCACCAGGCGTCTGACATCCCTGTGAACGATGGTGTAGGGGATTCTGGATGAGAGTTTTTCTGTGTTTTTCCTTTGCTTGTGCAGTGTCCCTCCTTTACTCATTGGAACAGGGTAGCTTGGAAAAGTCCTCACATTCACATCCCTCCCGACTCCTCTTTGGTCAGGATTTACACTGACAACTCTGCCAAGCTTGTATCGGCCTCTTAAAGCGTTTTGATCCGCCAGCCACACAACATCTCCCACTGTGACATTCCTCTGCTTTGTGTGCCATTTGCTTTTGATGAACAGGTTGGGACCAGCCAGCTCACACCACTTTCTCCAGAACCTGCTGACTTCTTGCTGGATACTTTGGAACTTGTTTACACTTTCCTTGGCATGGGCAGCAACTTCTCCAGCTGACTTCTTAGGCCACTCCTCCACTGGCCACTTCAAAAACTCTGGCCCGTTTTGCCACACAGATCCTTCCTTCAGATCTCTTGCTGTGCTTCCTCTAGTCATTATATCGGCAATGTTCAGTTCCCCATGTCTCTTAAAATACTTCCTGAGCCTGGCTGCAAAAACGGCTCCACAGATCTCGGCCTTTGCCGCTTCTCCCTTTTGATCCAGCGGGGTCAGCTTGGCCTTTGCTTCCACAAAACAGACGTCAACTCCTCTCTCTGTATCCCACCTCAGGTACATCACTGCTCCATAGGTTTTATCACTCCCATCTGAGAAGGTTATTCCCCACGGTTTCCCTCTCCAGTCAGCTGGTGTGATGCTTCTGTGGAATTTAATACGACCAAGCTCTACATATTCTTCAAATATCTTAATGGCTTCTTCTCTTAGACCTTCTGAAAGCGGTTTATCCCAGGTCTCTCGAGTCATCTTTCCACCTCCAGCCTCTTGGAAGGCCTTCCTTACAAGGATTGCTCCCTTCTGTTTGACTGGTGTGACTAGCCCAATTGGGTCATAAAGCCCAGCTACCTGACTAAGCAGCTCTCTCCTGCTCAGTGGATCAGGTGTTTCCAGTCTCACATTCTCCTTGTTAAGATGCTCACCCAGTCTAACCTTCCTTTTCCTCTTGGAAAAGTTGATTGATGTCATCATGTAAAGCATGTCCTCTTCCGCCTGATACCCAACACCCAGGGCCTTGTTGTCTTCAACCCTCATCTGGTTTGGAAGGATGATTGTTGCTGCTTTTTGCGCTGCTGCCTCCAGCTCTTGTGGGATTCCCCCTGCAGCAACCTGCCTCCCACTTTGGCCTGACCACACCCAAGGTTTGAGAAAGAAGCCTCCTGCCTTCAAGATGTCCTCCACTCCTTGTGTGATTTCGATCAGTTCCTCCAGACTGTTGTGGGATGTTAGGATGTCATCCACATAGCTATCCTCTTCCAGAATCCTGCACTCCTCCTTCAGGTGAGCAAAGATGGATAGTCTTGCCGTCTCACGCATAGCGAGCTGTGCTATGCACCCAGCTGGTCTGTCTCCTATGTTGACCCGTGTGATGGCATATTCTTTTATATCTTCCTCTGGCTTATCCCTCCAGAGAAATCGGTGTAGATGCATTTCACGTTCCTCCAGCCACACTGAATTATACATCTTTTTGATGTCACCAAGGGCTGCATACACACCTCTTCTGAACCTTAGCAGGACAGCTCTAATTGGGTTTAGAACGTCTGGCCCCTTTAAAAGAAGGTCATTCATGCTCACGCCTTTGAATTTTTGGCTACTATTCCACACCAATCGCACTGGGGTTGTGACTGAGTGAGGGTTAGGTGCCACCAAGTGGCTTACGTACCACACCGGCCCCTTCCAGTTTCTTCTCAACCCCTCAGTGAGTTCCATGGCAGCATGACGTTCAACCATCTCATGTACTTGCGCTGTGTATGCAGCTTTCCATTCAGGCTCTCTCTCCAATTGCCTTTCTGTTCTTAAAAATGTGGCTTCCACTGCACTCCTGTTGTTGGGGAGAGAGGCAGGGTCTTCAACCCATGGATACCTTGCATCCCAGCGTGGTGAGTTCACGTGAGTATCTTCCTTCTTGATGTACGTGAGACCTTTTTTAATGATCTCCAGTTCTTTTTCCTCTGCCAGGGTCATTTCCTTCCCTCCTGGTTGGCAATTTCCACATCTGCACCCCCCACATCTCGGTTCACAGGCTGCCCCAATACTCTCCAATCTCCACCATTCAGGAAACTCACTGTTAGTGGCTCTTGTAAAATTTACATTAGCCTGATGCTCCTTTTTTAGGAGGGAATCCTCTGCTTCAGATGTGTCTCTGAGAATCTCCTCATATTTGACAGCAGCTGTTCTCATGGACCGGGCGAAGTGGGTTCTTGACCCATGGGCTGCCACTTCTGCATCTTCAAAGAGATCAGGATGCGCTCCTCCCACTGTCTTCCCGAGTGGACTCTCCCACAAGACGAGGTCCCCAACCACTCTCTTCCTTTGAGGAGCAAGCCTTCCCTCTCTGTGGCTGATAAGAAGCTCGACATCTTTTGGTCTTCTTAGCTCCTCCAGCTCAACCTCTGGGAAGAATTCTTTTAACCTCTCAGGTTCTATTACTTTGTGCACCTTGGCGATATCATCCAGCCCATAGCAGACCATTTCTTAGAATTTAACAAAAAAAAAAGAAAGATTTGCATGTAAAGTCACTGACAAGGGAAATCACTCTCTTTAGTTTAATAACCACAAGTATTTTTATTTTTATGGATCAAGTATTTGTGTGCACTCTGAGAAATAGCAGAGCAGATTTTGATGTTAAAATGGAGAAACAAAAGTGCTGAAGACTAAATCCAGCACCGCATGTATTCAAAAACTGCTCCAGGCATTTCTTGTTTAAGAAAATCATTGTTACAATTATGTGTATCTGTAAACGTTTGTGGAAAATACACCTACATTGTTTAGATTGCATACTTTCATATTGAGCTCCTTATTTGTATAACCACAAATAGAAGACAATCATATCAATTGCTAACAAAACTTATCTGCTTTGTAATTAGAATCAAGCTGCATGTTATCAGTAACTTCTATGTAAATAAACCTGATTTTTGATAGATTTTGTTAAAGATCATCAATGAAGAAAAAGCTTCATTAAGATCTGGGAACACATCCAGGATGTCAGGAATGAGGTTAGTTGTCCAGGATAAGAAATAAAGAAGTATCTCAAGTTTTAATGATCTTACTCTGTCCAATAAAGTATTTAAAAATAGGAAGATTGTCTCATAACTCCAAACCTACCAAAACATAGCAGGCGAGGACAAGATAAGGATCCATGAGGACTGTGTTAACTTCGGAAAAGAGAAGAGATTCACAGCTCAGGAGGGGAAATCTGTGTACAGAGCAAAGATTAGTTATACACTTAACAAATCTGACCATTCTAGAAGCATAAGAAAAAGAAAGCCAGGTGCTATGTCCCTCTTTACTCTGATACCCCATATAAAATCCAATGAGTTACACTTTCCTCTGAACTCTCAAAAGAGTAACAACAATGCTACTATTAAAAGAAAGTAGTTGAAGACCTTTTAAAACTCAGAGGGGAGACAATAAAAATGTCTGGTTTGATGAAACCAGTATTTTTTTTTGGAGGACAAAAAAGTTATACAAACACTTCAGATCACCTTGAACACTCTTTCAATATTGTAAAACATGAGGGTGGCATCATCATGCTAAGGGGGCTGCTTTTGCTCATCAGGGCAGGGGAATTGTTTCAGAGTTAATGAGGAGAAAATAAAGCAGAGAAAACCTGGAAGAAAACCTGAGGTACAAAGATATGAGACAAATGAGGAAATTACCTTTCAGCTTTTGATAAGAAAACCTAAACACACGGCCCACATTACAACAGTGTTTTAGATTGAGGCTTATAATTGTATTATATGTATGTTTTGGGGTAAATATTTATTGATGCACTCAATCCAGTCTAAGTGAACTAAAACTGTTTGACAAAGCATGGACAACAATTTCAGTCTATAGGGGGACAAAGATGGTGGAATCATAGCCCTTAGAGTGCACTCTACACTTGTCAAATGTTTTATTTCCAGCACAAAATCAAATTCCTAAGAAATACAAATAAACCCCGTATGCAAGCAATCCTACTCTAAGATTTCCCTCTCTACTTGTTTGACCTTATTCTCTGAAAAATCTTTGGTAGTACATTTAGACTTCCATGTAACTCTAAAATCAATTCCCACATGCCTGCCTCATAAAATGTATGCTTTGTATTGTACAAGTAGCCCTTATAGATATTATAACCCCCCACTGTCAAAGCGACTGCAGCTGCAGCTAGGGGACAGCCATGTGTCTGAGGGATTCAGACATGTCTGTTTGTTTAACATGAATTATATATAAAAGACCAGAGAAAAGAAAGAAAAGATCACATCAGCAGGTCAGCAGGTGAGAGGAGGAGAGCGATTCCACTAAGGGAGTAACTGTGAGAAATAATAGCCTATAGAGGGTGTACAAGCAAAGAAAAGATGCTATTTACAGCGGCGTGAAGTCTATGGGTAGAGAGTTTCAGTTTAATGCACAATGTGGTTTTATTTAGGAATAAAACTCTATTCAGTCTGGATCCTAAACTTTATAGGAGAGGGTTCTGATACCACATAAAATCTCTCAGATTAATTATATATGAAGGCATTGTGCTTTATGAGTGGAGGAACATTTGCCAAACAACTTATAGATCGAGCCCATAATGTAATTGATGTGTCCATTAATGCTGATTGAAGAGTAAATAATTTATACTTGTGAGTGAATGTGTTTTCAAACACTTTGAAAAAAGTCTAAAACAGAAAATCATTTTCCTTCCATTTAATGTTATGGATGGGAAATCCAGCATGCATGCCTGTCAGAGGAGGTACATTCTCTGCAATAAAGCCATAAAGCAACTGCAGCTGGAAATGGGTGACTATAGGAAGAGAAACAGAAATGCTAGAGGAGGGTGTGTGTTTGTGAGTGTGATTTGAATGTTGCACTGAAAAAAAAAACAGGAGCTTTCTGGAAGCGAAGGTCAGAGAGGAAATGAAAAGCAACAAGATCAGAGTTCAGTGGAACGAAGTGAGTCACTTTATAAACTATTGGTCTTCCTGCATGAGCTCATCACTGCTGAAGTCACCAGGAAAGGCAGGTGTCAGCTGGTCATAACCTGAATGGAAGAAGTCATTTTTTTGTTTCCTCCAATTTAACTGGTGAGCTGACCACTAGAGGGAGCTCTTAGCTCTCCAAAGTCATTTTGTCAGAGCACAGATTTTACTTGATGGAAAGTATAAACCTTTGAATTTTGGCCACCCAGCTGAAGCTCATCTTAACTGTGAGACGAAGCAAAGCTCCTCTGGCTTAAGAAACCAAGACAGGTCAAACCTCTGAACAGAGAAATCAACATTGTGCTTACTTTAGAGGGTTTTTTCAGGATTCTCTCTTAAACTCAGCAGCTTGTGTAAAATATAAGCGTGTCTAAATATGACACCATGATGCTAAAGCAGAAAGTAACCTACTGTAAATCTGTCTGAGCATGAGCTGCTAATCCATTTACATTTATTATAATTCTATAGAAGCATGATAAATACTGACAGGGTCCCTTTAACTTCAAGGCTTAATGATTTTCCAGGTACTTTTTAATGAGGTACTCTTAAATAAAAAACATCTTACACCAAATCAGCTCTTACTAATGTGAGCAGTTAAAATTTTATTCTATTTGTCAACAACCAAATATTGATTTTTAAACCTGTTATTCAACATCACCGGTATCAGTATTGCATTTGGCACATAACTGACAATGAAAGTTTTTTATTCTGCTACGTAATTAGGATTTTATAACAAAAGCAACATGAAGTAGTGTGCAAACGTGATGTGTGAGGTAACAGATGTGTGGTTTTCTAAAGATTTGCAAATTAAAAATGTGAACTCTCTCTCTACTCTAACAGCCCTTAATACAAGCTAATAAAAAATTCCTCTGTAGTCTGCTTTTGTTAGTGGATGTAAGTTATCTCAAAAATCTTATGGAAGGCAGTAATATAAAGAAGGTCATTTGATTAAACAAAACCAAGGCATATTTTCTGGAGTACGTGTAAAAACAATATGTTAAAAAAAAACGAATACTGCAAATCACCTGGAAAAACAGTCCCTATAAACATCCATATAAAACGTGCATTTTCCACATTACATCTTTCCAAATGTATTTATGTCAAACATATGTTTTGTCCATGTGTAGCACCTTAACACCATTGCGAATACCTGGTATGTATAAAACAAAACAAAAAACAAAACAAAAAAAAACACTTGGTGCTTGGTCTTGTTCCGGTGTCCATATTTAATTTATATTAATTTTCTTTCATTTAGTCAGTGCTGTTTAAGATGCTGATCATCATAACTAAGACTCAGGCTTAATCCACACTAATGTGAAAACATTTTTAAAAACCCAGTTTATATAACAGCTCCCCTCAATATTATGAAATGACAGGTGTCTCTGTTTATGATGCGTGCTAGTAGAGCTGTACATTTAAAGGCTCAATAGGGGCGTTCTTCAGAAAGGCCTGTTATCACTTTCTAAGCTAAGGAATAGAAAACAAAACCATTTTTATGCATTCTCTCTCCTCTGTCTTTTTTTTCTGAAGCAGATAAAAAATAGTTAACAGCTCATAAACTAAACTCGAATAAACAGGTAAATTATGTCAAAAAGAAAAACTATTAGAAAAAAGAAATCAAATCAATTATAAGACTGTTTCATTCATGCACAAAAATGTACACCTGATCAATTCAAGTCAGTTCAGTTTATTTATATAGCACCAATTCACAGCACGTGTCATCTCAAGACACTTCACCACATCATACAGCAAAGTGAATCAAAGTTTTCTATCTAAGGACAACCAGTTGATTGCATCGATTCATTGACTCTTCAGCAATCTCTCACACTAAGCATTCTTGTAGCAATAGTGGAGCGGAAAAACTCCCTTTAAACAGGAAGAAACTTCCAGCAGAACGAGGCTCAGTGTGAGCGGCCATCTGCCGAGGCCGTCTGGGGTTCAAGGAGACAGAAGCAGAGATACAAAAAACAACTTTAAAAGGTGGCCCCGTCCAGGAAACACACAGCCAGGCAGACGAGTTCCGAGCCAATTACCAAGTAAGAGGATGAAGAGAGCACATCCAGCCAGTCACAGTCAGAGAAACAGGACTACACTGGAAAAACAGGCCAGTCTCCAACATCTATAAACAAAGGTGTTGTTGGCAGCAGCACAGCTGATATTAATTTTTAGATTAGATATATTATATTGATCAAGCTATTTAACAGCAATGTGTGTACATATAGAAAAACTCAGCAGACGATATACTGACAGATTTTTAGAGTGAGGAAATGAAGTCTGAAACAAATATAATTTAACTCCTAATTGTAAACATGTTATAATCGGAAGATGGTGTTTGAGTTGAGAGAAAAAAGCTTAATCTCCACATGGTATCGTTTCAAGTACAAGATGTTTTTAAGGATACAATTAAAAAAATACCACTTAAACACCTTTAATAGGATTTTCTCAGGGTCATTTATCTTTAAGATCTAAATTACCATCTTAACTTGTAGGTTCGTGATCTGATCAATACAGGGTAACTGATAACTCTGA